TCATCAAATTCTTGCTTTCCTCCACAAATCATGCCCCAAGAGCAATTCCATGCAATCTAGGAATATTATTGCCTCCTTTTGCATCCCCCTGACTGTCGAGGCCATGATTTGCCAAGAAAAATGTAACAACCTTCGAGGCCAACGCCATGATCAGCAAAAACGTGCTCTCTTCCTGGCACTAGATTCCCAGTCAAACCCTAATTTGCGCCTTTCATCTTCAGCCATCATGTCCATTAACGATCCTTGATGATCCTCAAGACTGTTTCCTTCCTGTGAGCGCACATTTTGCATCATCAAAACCATTTCTTGCATGAAATTAACAAATCCCTGTTTCCATAAATAAAAAAAAACCATTAGTACACCATAATACAATGATCTCAGTTCTCACATGAGAATTGTACATTAACAACGACTCACTTCATCGTCTTCGTCCGTAAGCAGACCCAACAACCCAGCATCATAAATCTTTCTCTTTCCTTTATCTCACAAAACCGAGTAAGCCTCCTGAATCTTTTGGAATCGTTTCTTAGCTTCTCCCGATTCTTCGGGGTTCTTCATCCATCTGTCGGGATGCCATTTCTTTCAAAACCGTTCACAAATTAACAAAAGAAAAACAACCCATTTAGCATGTGTATAAAAAGAGTTTCAAACGATGAATCAAGAAAAGTTATTATAGTATACCAAAGCCTGCCTTCGATAAGCGTCACGAATCTCAGAAGCAGAAGCTTGTTTACAAACTCCCAGCACTGAATAATACCAGGTTCCAGCTTTCGACATTTTCAACACCACCACCAATGGGACTATCGAAAACAGAGGAACGCAATTATAACATGCACGCGGGTAGTTTGGTTTTAGAGTTCGGCACTTGAAAAAAGAGTTTGACGTTGTGATTAAAAGCAGAAGGATGGGACTTTGGAGAAACTTCGAGAGGGTTCGGTCGAAAGGGAACTGTGAGAGATATATCTGGTGTACGTTGAAGACATATATGTTAAAGGTGGAGATTGTTGGCCACATGATATGACGAGCAACCGGTGAGCAGCCACGAGAATGCGTCCTTCACAACCCCTGGCTGCAAAAATGCTGTGGTCCACGCTAGTAAACCATTTGTGGCCCATCTTCTACCTTGCAATTGCATCCAATTCCAATGGCAAGATTTCATTAGGATTTTAATATAATATACTTAATTTATTCATTAAGGTTGTGGTAGAACTGCGCAGAGTAATTATAAAAAATATTTAATTTTTAGATAATAAAATACATGAAACACATGTATTACTAAAATTAATTTTAGTAAATATTTTTTTATAATACGCTTATTTTATATATTGGATGAGTCGAGATTGAACTATAAAATTATATTAACGTCTATTATATCACCTATGACAAATCTAATTTTATTTCAATCTTCATTTCGTCACTCACAACACTTATATCAATACCCACCCAATTTATTAAATAAAATAAAATACAATTTTAAAAAGCATTATAACTAAATTTGTAATTATTACTTCTCATGTTTTTTCATAATAAATAAAAAATTAAGTGTAACCGAAATATTTCAATAACACTCAAATTAGAGGAAGTCGTCAATTAAAAATAAATTTAATAATTTATTTAATGGTATAATTCAAATTAGAGGAACTCATCCAACAATCGTGAAAGTAGTCAAGTACTGCTTCTAGTTCTCCACTCCTTTGAGCTGAAGCATTTAAATAATACTATTCAAGTTCAAATGACTGAACGAAGCTTTTTCTTTTCTAGTTTCATCAAGCTCTAAACTCAAGCTTTTCCAACTAAGAATTGAACACTATGAAGACAATTTCTGTGGAGAAAGCACCCAAAAGCTTGACAATGATAATTCTTTCGAAAATGTGTTCTTTTCCACAACCTACAACGACTACAATCCCATGAACCTCAACGAAATCATTGATTTCGACGAACTGATGGTGATACTAGACGAGGGACAGTTACATGAAGGTGGTGGTCCTAGTGGCAGCCATGGCAGTACCACCATAGTGGCCGCCGACTATATAGACAATGGTGAACTGATGGAGAAATCGAATACGAGAAAGAGGATTTCTAAGGGTACTCTGGAAGCTTATTAAAGGAAGGAATTAATTATAATCAGAAACAGAGAGGCAGCTGCTCGTGCATTTGAACAAAAGAAGGTAACTTAGAGGCTAGCAACTTGCAATTATTTGCACTAACCCATTAATAAACGTTTCATTATATTACTTGTATTCCCAACTTAAATCTAATTTTATTCGATCATTAGGCTTACGTGAAGTGGCTAGAATCAGCGGTGCAGAAATACCGCTAGAAGAATGCAGATCCAAAAAGGCTACTTCTGGTGATTAAGTTTTCATCATTTCCCATTCATCTACATTACATTTGTTTTAAAGAAAAAAGTGACTTCCAATTTCTATGTATTACTTTCAAGTGAATATACATGTACAGTAATACATAGACATGTCTCGGAAACAACTAAGAAGGAAAAGCTTTGGACTGCTGTAGATCTTCAGACTTGAAGCAACTGGAAAGATTAATTGCTTTATATGAAAATATGTGTGTCTATACATATATTAAATTCTCAAATTTTCATTGTCTCTATTAAGGTTTCGGGGGATTGACCTGAATGACCGATACTCAGATCATAATACTGTGTTCTTTGATGAGAACGTGAGAGCTCGTGATGGGTTACAGGGGCCAATGTATGTAATGTAGGTACAGGTTGCACTTTCAGGAGAACTACACTCTATGTATTTGGTCCTCCTAGAGCCACTGGACATCATGGGTGGTTTTGTAGAAGGGAAGTCAAGTTATTTTTTAGGAAACCCAAGGTGACAAACAAAGCAGAAGATGTTAAAGCATTGTCTATTAATGCGGAACACGACGACGATGATGATGCAGATCATATCGAATCTTTGCTTCTTCCTAAGGGATTTGGGAACTCAACTTCTCTGGCAGCGTCAATCCCTGTTGCAGAATACCAAGGAAGGCTGCTTCAGGATGTGCAAGGAAAGGAAAACCATGTTGGACCAGCGGGTTCTCTTGCAGTGCTACTAGAAGAATGAAGTTCTTGCAGATAGTGACATATCTGAATGTGGGAATGTACCCTTTCACTGCTATGTTTCTCCTAGTCTACTGCATTTTACCTGCAGTTTCTCTATTCCCGGGCCAGTTCATCGTGCAAGCTCTCAGTTTGACCTTCATATTCTTGTTGGCCATCATAATCGCTTTGTGCCTGCTTGCTATCCTCGAAATCAAATGGTCAGGAATCACTCTTCACCAGTGGTGGCAAATTGAACAGTTTGGGTTGATTGGTGGAACCAGTGCCCATCCTGCATCAGTGCTACAATGACTTCTAAAGGTCATAGCAGGAATAGACACCTCTTTCACATTAACTTCCAAATCCGCCACCCCAGAAGAAGACGGAGACGACGCAATATGAGTGATAAATTTTTATCTTTTTATTCGTAAATTTATTTTATTGCTCAAGAGGTTAGTTTAAAAATGTTTTTGATATTAAGGTAACTTTTGTTTTATTCGTAAATTGTATAAGGTCTCTTAAATCTTTGAACGGTCCCAGCAGTTGAGAGTGGTTTAGACAGTGAATTAAACCCAGTTAATGGGGTTGGTTCGTTGTTTGTTACTGCCTCTTCGGACCCAAACAGAGAAACTTTCACCTTGCTTCAAGTCCCTGTTCTTTGGGGTTACTTTGTTGTTTGTTACTTGCTTTCTGACTTTCTGGACCCAAAACAACGAAATTTTTACCTTACTTGGACTCCTCGGTAAGTTCAAAACTAAACACCGCCAATTAGATTCCTGTAGGATGAGTTGTTCAAGTTTCTACCTTCGTTCGAATCGCAATGGAGTTTTTTAAGTACAAGATGTGCCCCACTTTAGGAGCAGGGGGACCAATTAATGTTATATTAACCTAATAGATGTTTCTAGCAGTAAAAGGTTGTCAAGGACTTTTTTTTTATTTGGTAAAATAATGATAATCTTAAAAAGTTGTTTTTTCTTCTTATTTTATCCTCCTCAAATAGTCGAGGGAGAATAAAGTAGAATGTGCATTCTATAATCAGTACGGATATTTATAATAGGGTGGATTTTAAAATTTTAAAAGAGAATAAATTTATAAAATTTTAATTGACGAAAATATATTTTCAATTGAAAATTTATTAAAAAAATCCACCACCCCTATACATCCTGCCAATAACATAATTTGTAGTAGTAACGTGGTTCGATCTACAATCACGGTTCTCTCCCAAAAAGCACACTGAACTCGAATTTTCCACGATGACTACATAAATATTTTTAATGCGGATGAGATCCTCAGGTGACTCTGTATTAAGATTAAGATTTTAAGAACATAAACTTCATACGACCATAACCAAACAATCAGTGGCCATGTTAGGACCAGAAACCAAACATGTCTCTGCTTTCCTCCCCATGGTGGGAGAAAAGAATATATAAGGTTTCCAAGAGCCAAAATTTACTTGGTCTTGGCTTGCGTGCCAACGTTTCTAATATCTAGCAGAGCCATGAAAATCGCTGTCGACATTCAGTAGAGCGATTAACGATATAAGACCAAGTTTGTATTGTTGAACAAGTAAATGTCCGGGACCAATCGATGGCGATTGGCTTTTAAGGGTCGGATAATTCTTCGTAACTAACAACAACGCGTTACAGAAATCATTGTCAAATGCAACATTTTGGCACTACAAGTAATGGCCCCCTCTTCATTTATATATACTTCAACCAGAGGATGCCATGCTATTGCTCGGCCCTCCTAGAATCATCCAAATGATTATAAACAATTGGATTAAGATATGATTAGAATAATTGAGATGGAAATCTATCAACATCAGACCGATCTTGTACGATTTCACCACCAAATCTATGTAGGTTCAGCAACTGTTAGCATGTCGGTAAGTTTCTATAATTTTAATTGATTAATTAAGGTATGGTATATAGGAAATATGATGCACATTAACTGTAAGATATAGAACTCGTTATATTTTACAGATAATAATCAAACAACTGGCTCAGGGCCAAAAAAGAATCGGGTCCCATTCCTTCTTTGAACATATCCATACACTAGAATGACATCTGGGTCCCCTACCCATTACACACAAATAGTCTGGTTGAGATAAAAAAAAATAAACATTATGAATCAAATGTACGTATGGTCGTATGTATCAAATTATTTGCAGTATGAAAACCATAAAGGTTATTGCCTGGCTTGACACATGTCCCGAAAGGAACAATGTGCAGAGGAAGTTCACGCAGGTCTTCATCCGCTGCCACCGACTAAACAAAATATTTACAGCCCCATGGTTATTCCGAAACCGGCGACTATATCCCTCAACTTTGATTTTAACTCGCGTGCCCGTACAAGTCATAAGGCGCCCACAATGCGTCCAGTGGACACGGCCGATCGGAGTCCAACCTTAGCCACGGCTTACCGCTACCGGACCAATGCAAGAGGCTAACCGGACCGGGATGCAAGTCTCGACAGCTTCCCTTCACATTGTCCCCACCCAACCCGTGTTGGTTCCATCTATGCTCGATGGGCGCCACGCGTCCCGCAAAAACCAGCAAGAAGGGCGGTAACGAACCAAGCTCGTAGATCCGGTGATGTTTCTGAATCTCCATCCATCTTTCTATCCGCTTCGTGTACCCGACCCGCCTCCATTTCACCAGATCAATCACCATCACTCCCGTGTTGAAATAACACGGCTTCCTCCCTCTGAAAATCCCCGAGAACCTTTGGTCCGACCAGAAACCGCCCGTGAAATATTTCGTGAAATTCGCGTGGCAATATTCAGGTGCCCCGATTGTACGTGGACCCAGATTGGTGCTCCACAGCTTAGAGATATCGTCAACGACGACTAGATCAGAGTCCAAATAAATCACTCTCCGTACGCATGGCTCTAGAAGATCAGCTAAGTAATTCCTAGCATAATTTAACGGCTGTTCAAGCGCTTGCCTAACGGAAGACGATATCAGGTTCCGTACAATCTCGGGATTGAAATAGTAGACCTTGAACTTCAACTGGGGGATCGTTGACCGAACGAGGGTATCCAGACTGGGCTCCGATACGAGGAAATGGAAGAAAATGTTCTCCGGGCACAATGAATGCCGGAGAATGGAGTGAACAGCGGCGATTGACCCACGGAGGTAGACCACGTCGAGAGTGACGGCCACGTGGACTAAAGAACGATCGCAGACGCCTGTGATTTTGTTGTCGGTGGAGCCACATTCGTCTGCATTACGAAACCCGGTGGCTTTCCGAAAATAAAACTCATCCTTCGATGAGTGTTGTGATGTAGACGCCTGATACGGTAACCAGATATAGCTGTCTAGATGAGACGATCTTATGGCTTCAGCGGGAGGAAACGACTGGAGTGATGGTGAGAGAATGATCATCAATATTGCGGCTGAAAAGAACCCTGAAAATCGCATTGCCCAAAGCATCTTACTACTGTAAATCCCCTTCCTCTTCTTTTTATATTTGAAATCGAGCCGATCTGCTAAGAGAGTAGACAGTGAGGACTGGAAGAACGATAAGATTCCTTTTAGGTCCGCCATAGCTCACAATAATGAATCTGGAGTAAGAATCCAAAGCTCAGAATCGGTGAAAAAAGAGGCAGAGTCCAGTGCTACCGTGCGCCGGCGGCGTAACGCTCTGACTCCCTTTCACTTCTCCCTCTCTCTGTCCCCTCCTCTCACTCTATGCAAAGAAACTGATGGCAGCACAATAGAGGGATAAGAGGCAGAGACTAGAGAGAGAAGGAGATGATAAAAGTTTCAAATTTTCTCTTAGCTTGGCGTTTTCCACCGTAGAAATCGACGGCCTACCATAATTTTAGTAACAGAATACTATTGATTCAAATATAAAGCCTGCACGTACAACAACAACACAACACAACAATTGGATTTTTGTACGAATCACCCACCCCTTTTTGTTGGATTCTTTTAATCAGTTTTAATGATTAATTGCACTAAGCGTCCTCAAATCATGCTTAGATCTTATATTAGTCAAATTTTGAGGCATTATAAATTACTATTATCATTTGAAATATGTGTTTCTGTTAGTTTAGTAAATTATTTGAGTATTAATGTCAATTTAAGTTTGATATAGAGCATATTTAAATTTTTTTAATTAAATTTTAAATACATTTGTATATATTGTATAAATAATTAAGATCTGTCATGTATAAATTTAATTATTATTAAAATTTGATATAATTATCTTTAACATTATATTTAAAGTGTTCATACAATAATATATAATATTTAAATTTTGATGCACATGTTTTAAATTTCCTTCACATCATATCTAAATTGCCACTTAATGCTTGAATAGTTTGGAAAACTAACATATTGATGTGTTTGAAATGATTTTTATAGTTTATAGATTAATTTAAAATGTTTCAAAGTGTAGGGTCTAATTTAGAATTTGAGCTATATTTTTGAGACACTTGGTGTAATTAACTCATTTTTAGTTTTACAATGAGTTAATTTTATCAGAGACCCGCAAATTATTGCCTAAATTATAAGTTAACGAATTTCAAGACATTCTAATTGAATCTTCAAAGCATCAGAACTAAATTAATTAGCTCGTTTTATCAGTCTTGTCATTAGCTTTAGGGTGAAATATTAGCTCAACTTGGATTTTTATAGAAGATTTAATTTGATCAACAAATTAAATTTGATTGAAAAAACATGATATAATGAGGACATAATTAAAATATTTTAAAATTTGTAAATTGATATAAAATATAGAAGATTGTTCAAAGACATCTAATGTAATTAACCCATCAACCGTTCAACGATGAGCCCAATCAAAATCAAAAGTGTCCGGGTCGGATCCAAACTACACGGTTGCCTCTTTAAGTCATGATTTTTATAGCACAGACTTCTTGTGACCAGTAAGTAATCTAGCCTTAAAATTGCATATGTTGGTAATTGTCGGCAGAGATTTTGTTATTAAAAATATTATTATATAAATTTATGGTATTTGATGCGGGATCGATGAGATGATATTAGACATTAGTGGATGTTGATTAATCACCATATACTGATAAACTTATTTATAAACTTATTTATAAACTTATTTCATTTTGTCTAGACGATATATCTCTTATTATTTTAACTAAAAACAAATTTGTCTAAAAACTTTACGTCAATTCCACTACATGCTCCAAAACTATGATTCAAGTTTTAAATCGGTACTTCTCTTTGTTGGAGGAGATTTTCGACTCTTTCAAGATAAGTATTCAAAATATCGTTTGTTAAGTTATCAGTCACGAACCTCCAATAACTTTGGTAATATGTTCAAATGATGTTTGTGTTCCATTCTAATATTAAAAATTTATTTTCTGATCTTTATGGACGCAGGTACTTTTAGGACTTGATTATGATGTTTTAAAGTATACAAATTAATTTAGAATCTAAGTAATACTTTAATGACGTCTTGTGTAAAATGTTTTAACATTCTTCGTACTAAATGCAGCAATTAAGGAAATGGTAGAACATGTTTTGAAATGAAACCTACAGGTTTCTTCAAATGAATACAAAATACCATGATAGTTGCCACATTACAAAAACAGGGCTAGAAAAACACTAGGGTGCCCTGTTGATTTAACACCTATTCGTTGCCACATTTCATGAACGGTTGCAGTACAATAATCTTAAGTGGGCTATAGGTAAGGGAAGCAAGTTTTTTGGACCTAATCGTTTATGGGTTAGGCATAGGCTGAAACTAACGATGAATCAAATGGTCCAATTGGACTAAATCCTTTATAGTTTCGGCTGAACCTCCATACCATTATATGCGAAATTATTATTATTAACAATGACTTTGGTATCGAGTCAAGTAATTGTTAAGTTTATTCAATTCAGTTTTAATAATAAATGAGACATATGAAGGCTTATTAATCTAGCTTAATACCAACTTTTAGTGATATTTTTTTATTAACATGGGGTAAGTACAAAAAGATAATATATTTTTAAAGATAACTCTCAATCATTTGATATTGAACGTTCGTACCTCTGACATTATCGATGCTCGAACTCGTATCTAAAAAAATAATAATAATTTATTTACTACCGAGATTACACGAGTTCATAATTTTTTTAGATATCATGTTTGATAAAACCATATTCACTTAAAACGATTTTATCAAATATTATAAAAAAACCGTAATTTTTTAAAATGATTTCAAAAGCATCAATGTTTTTATTATTATAATATATTACTAAATAAAAATAAAAGTATAATAAAAACCGATGGTAGTTAAATTGATAGGTTAGGTGGAAAGAATCTAAGCAATCTGGAAGAGCTCCTGTGAGTGTAGATGCCATCTGAAGAAGAGAGTTGGAAGAGTGCAATAATTAATTAAAGTTGGGGTTCATTTAATTAAACGTGTGGGGTTGGGTTCCCTTGCGCATTTTACGAGGGGCGGACTGATGGTAGCTAGCGTACATTATATATTCCATATTTACGTAAGGCTGTAAATAAATCGAACGAACATTAATAAGAGTATATTTATATTTGTTCGTTTATATTTAATTAAATAAATGAACGAATAAAAAATTTATTATTCGTGTTTATTCGTTAATGAATGTAACTTGTTCGTATTCGTTTATGTTTGTTCATTTAAATGATAAACGAATACAAATGAACGAATATAAACGAAAAAATGTAAACGAACGTAAACAAACACAAACAAACGGATGTAAACAAATATCAGCGAACACAATAAATGAACGTAAACAAACACAAACGAATAAATGTAAACGAACACAATAAATGAACATAAACGAACATAAATAAAATTATATTTTATATAATAATGATTAAATAATAGAAAAACAATTGATTTTAATAATAATTATTATATAATAGTATGTTAAGAAAGATTTTATATTAACTTAAAAAAAGATTTTATGTTCTAACATCTAAAACATATTTCTTAAGATTTTAGGTTCGAGTATCAGAAATATCGAACGTCTAATATCAAATGATTGAGAGTTATTTTTAAATAGATATTACATTGTACTTACCTTATATTATAAAATATATATATAGTATCTATAATATTTTTATATAATTTTTAAATAAAACAAAATTAAAAAAATTCTTTAGAAATAAATAAGTCTGAATTTAATGCTTGAATTATAATAATTATGAAAGGTAAGATGAATGGCAAGGTTTGACGCACATGAATGATATTGATGTGGAATGAGCTTCGCTTGCTTTTCCCATTAGTCAATGGTTTTTACTTTTTATAGTTACCTTCATTCAGCTCCAGAGCCCCCACCAACATTGAATCTTTTAGTTGGGAGTTCAGTCGTGTACTGGATTATGGTATCCAAAAAAAAATTAATTGTCGTTAATTAAAAATTTAATGAATTTTGAGCAGCCATATCTGGTCCCAGATGATTAATTTGGTAGGCCAAACTGAACAGTTTATTGGGTTTCAATCGCAAGATTAGAAAAACAACGTCAAATCATTTTGAACAACAGAGGATTGTAAGTTTCTTTTTCTTCTTGTTTATCTTTGAGAATCGATACCTCTAATGTTTCCATGAACTAATTCCTTTTGCGCCGCTGGGTTTTTGTGGCGAAAACGTACAGTCGGATGCATGAAAATAAACCACGTCGTCACCGTTTACAAATAACGGCAGAGCTTAGCTTCCCTGCTTCTCTCGGCACCAGCTGACCTTGCGCCATCACCAACGATTTGTAGATCTCGACGATCATTTTCTCGTCGTACTCTTTAATCGGACGCTTCCCAAAGGCCGATACCCCATGATCCCCCATGGCTCCGCCGTACCCGGTAACCGCCCTGGAGTTGGCTAACCCCAGCATCATCTTCACGTACGCATCCCGTAGCCAAACAAAGAACTTCTTCGGCGAAGGTAATCTCACCTTTGCCCTGACCCTGATCTTCCAGAACGGCCTCCGCCGCGAGGAGCCGCCAAGCTCCACTCTGCTCCTCCGTGCTCCTCCTCTCGTACCACCGTTTAGCTTTACATAGCCTCTCCTCTTCCAGTACCCTCCCAAACGCTTGTACATGGTCGTAGAAACACCCTCCATCACCGTTTCTGAATATTCGTATTTCTCCAGAGAGAGAAGAAAGTGGGGGGAGATTGAAGAAGATACGTATACACATATATGATATATATACATGTATAAATCAATATATCATAGAGTAGATAGAGGGTGGCGGTGGTAAATGCGAGAGGCGCAAATGAATTAAATGTGTGTGGTCATTCCACGTGTCACATTGTAGTCGTCGTATCGTTTGATCATCCATGGGATTCTTCTCGGGTGTCAAATTAAAAATAGAACTTTTAATTGCCCGATGTGAGGGCTAACTTAAATTGTTATTGTTAAATTGGAATTATTATTATATTTAAGTAAGTGACGTTTGATAGAGGTAAAATATCAAATCATGAAAGGGGGATGAAAGGGATTTTCCATGGCGATTGTAAGGTAGGTTATAACTTACTATTTGAAGGTCGGAAGCTGAGGAAGAATGAGCTACTTAGCTACACCTACACAGCCATTTCACACATGCATGTGGATTTTTCTAATTGCATCTCTCAATTCTTTTATTTTTATTAGTTTATGGTAATTAAGGTAGTATCTATTTACTTTTTTTAATTGTTAACTATACATATATATCTTGTAGACATACGTGTTTAAGTATAATCTTTTAAAAACAATAATCTCTTTAATCATTAAAATAGTTTTGGGAGGTTTATATTACTCAATTTTTAATGTTTACATTATAAATTTTTAATGTTTACATTATAAATTTTTAAATATAATGACGAGTGAAAAAATATCATAAAAAACATATAATATTTATATAAA